CAGCTGGTTTTCTGTGGACACTTCTTCCGGAAGTAATGACAAGTCTTTATTTGAATGGGAACCAGGCACAGTGTTCACTGCATTTTTCTTGAGGCAAAGTCTTGCTGTATAACCCAGGCTGGCCTAAAGCTTGAGGTCTCCCCAACCTCCCATGAATTGAGATATTCAGTAGGCACCACCACACTAAGCTCTTAATGAAAAATAGAGTACTTAAACACAAAAGAATACAGGTACTGTGCTATTGAAATGGGAGGTGTGGTTCTAAAAGAGGGATCATCATGTGGTTGATATGATGATAGAACTGCTATGATTGAGAACCAAATGTGGCTGAGCTTTCTAGTAGCTAAAGCAGTAACTCTCCATGTTTGGTAACTGGTTCCTTGGAAAGGGGGTAAAATTTTCCTGGAATTAAGTTTGCTTGTTTGTTTGTTTGTTTGTTTGTTTGTTTCCAAGACAGGGTTTCTCCTTGTAGTTTTGGTACCTGTCCTGGGTCTTACTCTGTAGACCAGGCTGGTCTCAGAGTAAGAGAGGTCTGCCTGGCTCTTCTCCCAAGTGCTGGGATTAAAGGCTGTGCCACCACTGTCCAGCTTGGAATTAAATTTTAAGAAAAGATTCTCACACAGATATGTATTTGATTTGAATAACAGAGGGTGTTCTCAGCAGGCTAGTACCAAGTGCTAACACACTTGTAATTTGTGTTATTATAATTGTGTAGTTTATAATGAATGATCTTGAGGGACTATAGAAGTCGTAATTTAAAAAGCATAGTTGAGTGATGCTCCTTTCATAAAGGGAGACAGACTTAAATAGACTTGAAATGTCTGGTTAATCCGTGCATAAAGTTGAATTTTTCTTTTTCTTATCCCCTTTATTTACTGTTAGGTGTGCACACAGCAAGCATTTCCTACGTGCACACCTCAGTGAACCTTGAGCTTCACCTCAACCTGCAGTATAATAGACTCGTGTCCTCTGACTCCCACATCCATCTATGGCTCCACCTCTTCTAATAGCATAACCTCCTGGTTCTGTCCTTAAGTAGGTTGCATTCTCAGTCGCTTAAAGAACTTCATGTTATTTAACTCAAGTTAAAAATTACACAGACTTCTCTGCACAACCCTAGCTGCCTCACTGCCGACTGTTCCCATTGGCTCTCCTCACCTGGGAATGGCAGGGTACAGTGACTATTTCATGGAAATGTGGCACTGAAGATAGAGGGGAAACTGAAACCATGGGGGACTTGCTTCTCACTCTCCTACCCTTTCTTCCAGCACAGCCCCTACTGTGGCTTCTAGAAGGTCTCAGTCAGCAGGGCAGGAACAGATCAAGCCTGTTGTAGAAGTGGCATGCCAAGCTCAGTATGATTAAGGGTGCTGGGAGCAAGAAGGGCCTTATTCTTTAGTGATTGTGAAGAGAGAAAAGTGAGAGTTGCTGAGTATTCATGAAGATACAGCCTTTCCAAATGATTCGAATACTCCTTTTCACTGTAAGGTCACCCCAAGGTATTTCGTGGAGTGTTTCTGCAAAGGAAGTGCCAAAATTTAGAGACCCATGCCACATTTGTTTAGTGACATGTATACTTTGAATATCATTATTGAAAACCATTTATTTATGAATATTGATTCCTCACATTCACAATCCTACCAGTAAACTTTGCATGAATCTTTTGAGTCTTTTTCACCATAAGAACATGTTAAGAATATGTAATCAAAGCACATTGCTCCCATTGCTTCTGAAAGCCTAGCTTATTGAAGAACAATTTACACATAAGTTGTACCCGCCTTCTTTTTTTTAAATTTATTTTTTTACTTTGTGAGTGCTTTGCTTGGTGCCCATGGAAGTGAGGAGAGGTTATTGGATTACTTGGAACTGGACTTGCTTAGAAGGTTGTGAACCAACAAGTGGGTGCTAGGCATAAAACCCAGGTCCTCTGCAAGAGTAACAGTATTCTTAAACACTGAGGCATCTCTCCAGCCCTAAGATGTACCCATCATAAGCATGAAGTTTGAGTTTGAAAAATATACTCCTTGCGACTCTACCCAGACAGTAAATAGGGCAAATATGTCACTGGGAATTTTGACCTAAGCATAAATAATCACTGTGTTGTTTTACACATTATAAGGATTCTCAAATATAAGTAAAGACAAGGTAGTAAGTACAGAGAGCCTCCACCCAGCTTTGGGAGTTATGCTGAAGGTTTTTTGTTGTTGGTTTTATGGTGTTGGAGACAGATCCCAGGGCCAAGTGCCACACCTCTGAGCTATACCACTAGCCCCAGCTTCTACAATTGTGAACTGATGATCACTTGTTTTCCATAAATATTTCAGTGTTTGTCTAAAAGATTTTTAAAAAGTATTTAAGAACAGCATAATTAAGTCTAAAAAAATAACTATTTGGTAATTTATAAAGGCTGCTTACTTGGGGTTGTGTGAAATAGTCTGTTAAATTTCTTCTGTTTACTACTTATAAGTATCCAAAACTAGCGTTACTGAGATCGTTTCAGGGTAGTATGTTCTCCTAAGTGCTCTTTTGTTCAAAACAAGTTGAGAATGTCTCATTAGAGAAGGGATTTGCAAGGTCTGAAATAAAAGTCAATTCTTTCTTAGAATTAATTTTTAAAAATCCCTTTAAGAAAATGCAGCTTAAGTAGTATTTAGGAAAGAATTTCAATGTTGACAACTTATAGAAGTGAGAATGGGAGAAAGCTTAAGGCTGAGGCTACCTGGTCCAGTGAACCTATAACCTGGGGTTGAAACACAGGAACCCAGGCCCAAAAGGCTTGGATAGCAAGTGCCGAGCTGTCCTCAGGAGGTCCCTGTGATGTCCCAGTAGACAGATAGTGACAGTGCATGCAGAGCTGCAGAGCATGACTGGAATGGGCTCGGCCAAATAAGACAAGAACCCTGGCAGCTACAGACCTAACATGACAGATATCTCAGCAACAAACAGCCTAACAGAAATATGGGTAAAACCAGTAAACACAGGAGCCGGAGAGGCATTTTTAGAAGGGGTGGTTACATGCTGTGAATCTTTTCAAATAAAATATCCAGAAAAGACATTGTTTAGAGAATGATCAGTGGAGGAGACACGTGGCAATGTAGATTAGCTGCCAATGGGTATGAGGGATCTTAATCAGATCAAAGTGGTCTTAAAAATGACCTGTGATGGACAAACCTGCCAGTAGTTACTAATCACTTTAAAATGTTGGATTTATGACATGTAAAATACACTTAATAGTAGTGCTTTTTAAAAAAAAGTAATAGCACCCACTCCTGTTCACCAAGAACTTACTTAAACAAGATGCTGAAAGTATACTTTCCTCTTGTTGCCTGGTCACTGGTGGCCAGGGCTAGAATTAAGGGAGGGGCCTGGGGCAAACATGGGCTGCAGTGGGTGGGGAGTGACTGAGTGGTGTGGATGACTCACACAGCAGGTACTTGTGAGATCAGAGGAAGAGAGATGGTAGCTGGGAATGTTGGGGATTGGGACAGTTCTCTTTTCCCTTTTTAATGTGGTAGCTGTTAGGTCTCACAGGTTGGGGCAGGGACAGTGAACTTGCCCCACTGATGTCAAGGGGAGGGGAGATGTGTAGCTTGGGTGCCACATAGAAGCCACTCCTCGTTGCCTACTACTGGACACCACAGGACACCACAGAAGGGAATTTCTCAGATGCTGCCCATCTGGCTTCTCCTTTTGGGTTTGTGCTGGAATGGAGATGTACTGGGTTGCCAGCAGGGACATAAGTTTACTCCTATCTCCAAGTTCAAACAGTTGTCAGAGCCCTTCTACTTTATCCCCATCATCAGCCCCCTGCCCCTCCCCCCAAACCCCAATCTTTGCAGCCACTTCTCAGTCCCAGTCAGAATCAGCTGAGATTCCCATTCTGTGGCTTTACTCCACCCAGGCCTGCCACCAATGCCTGGAATGTCCCTATTTGCTGTTATCTTGAGCAGCACCTACTTTTGCTTTTCATCTGTTATCAGAAGACCTGGCAGGTGGGGCTTGCCAGAGGTAGGTACTACTTCCTGCTCAGGATCTGCCTAGAGTTGACAACCTAGTTAATCAGGTCCTGCTCAGGTCCCCAAAATAAGGTTCATTTCTTACTAACCACTATCCAAAGACCTTATGTTTTCACATTCTATCTGGCTAACCCAACATTACAGAATTCAAAATTCCCTGGCTATAATCCTTTGATTCCAGTGATGGTTTAATGTTTTTATTTTCTGGGGTTAAGTGCTGCCTCTTTCACTGGCCACTGAAGTTCAAGCTTCAATGAAACAAGAATTCTCTGCTGTGGGCCCAGCACCAGTAACAACTAAGATCATTAAGGAAGGTGGTTCTGAATAGACTACTTCATACCAGCAAGCTTGCGTGCAGGCCCTTTCAACTGGTGACCCATTCTGATCTTCCCATCAGCCTGAAGACTTTATCTTTTCATCCTGAATTTCAGATTCAGGATGATGGAAGGAACACTTTGTGGGGATTATGGCTACTTTTAGGTACCCAGAGCTCTGGGAATGGACACAATTAACCACCTTCAACCAATCAATGCAGTCTTCATTCTACCCCAGAGGCTTCTGAGATCTGGTACTCAGTGCTGACTGATCTGGTCTCAGTACTGACTGGATGCTTCACCATATAAGCAGAACTCAAGCTACCTTCTGCTTCTGTCCAGTACACATGGAAAGCTCTCTACAATTGTAACCCAAATAAACTTGGCTCTGTCTTGCTCAATAGGCACTGCTCACACTGGGATTCTGCAGTTCTTACAGGTTTACTGTACCTTCCCTTGCTTTCTGGGCCTGTCTTTATGTAGGGAGACTTTGATACTCTTCATTCCACATCAGGACAGATGTACTTCCATGTCAAGCTCCATAACTATCTTTCGCTGGGAGGGACCTACCTTTGCTGACCTGAATGAACAGACCATGCACTACACTAAATCCCAGCCCCGAGCCTTTACTCTGGCCTGGGGCCTCATTCACAAAGAGGCAGACGCTAAGTTTCCGTTAAGTTGTAGGAGTTTATTTTAAATAACCTACAGTTGATTAAAAGGGAATTCATGATAAAAATAGAAGATACTTGAGGAAAGATGAGGGAATGGACTCTGCACACACACTAAACTAACAATGCCTCTAAAACTAGTGATTATAGCAAAAAATGTCTTCACATTAAAATTTTGCTTTTTATGTTTTTTTTTTTTTCAATTTTTTACACAATTACAAAAGAAAAATAAAAGCCCTAAAATCTTGATTATTTTTCTTTTTTGTTTTTTGGGGTTTGGTTTTTTAAATTTTTTTTTTTTTTTTGGACCAAATGCTCATTTTCCTCTAAATTTATTGACCTGTGGAAGTTTTTATACAATAAAGTCTTTCAAATGAAAGACTGGGGTTTCCAAAGAAAAAGATGGATCTCTTAAAGGGTACAAAGAATGCTGAGAACAAAGGATGATGGGAAAATGGTTTCAGTCACTGATTATTTCATATCTTTAGACTCACTCGCCCTTCATCCCTCCCCAACCCCAAGCTACACGATCTTTAAGATCAAGAAGAAGGCTTAAATATTTTAAAATAATTAAAAAGAAATAAAAATTCACATTTAAAAAGGAACACTCAAGTCAGGAAATATTTTCCCATCATGCTTTTCTGTGAATAGGTGTCTGAACCAAAACACTGCCGATGTCACAACTGCTTCAAGTTTAATGAAAACTGATTCCCATGACGATAGAGTGACAACTCTAATAGGTGCGCTGGGTTTTTGTTTTGTTCTACTTAACTTTAAATTCCTGAAATGGGGAGAGGAGGGAATTTAGGAATCGTTTCTATTAAAATATAGAAGTTATTGCAAAACCCTAACTGTAAAAACGCACCAATATAATCAGACTTCGCATACAGTAGCTGAGAGAATCCAAACATTGCAGCAAAACTGAATTTGCCTGGCAGGATGCTGACAAATTCCCATCCACTTGCTCTCGAAAACAAAAACAAAATTCAAAACAAATCAAACAGCTAGAATTTTGATATCTGAAATATTTTTAAATAAGTTGTCCATAGGACAACTGGCTCAGCTCTCCCTTATAACATCTCCAGGTCTATCTTTTTGCAAAGATGTTGGTTTGTTAAGACTTGTGACCTCTACCTCAGGCATGAGGGCAAGTGAGGCTCAGTTTATCCATCTTCCTCAAACCACACTGTCCCTTTTCACAGAACCCCTGGCAAGACTGGTCAAAACTCGTAGTCCTCATCGGTCATATCAATGGCCCAAGCAAACTTCTCCCTCTGGGTTTTGTTGTAAATCTTCTCAATTGGGACCCCCCACTTCTTGCACCTGCAAAAATAAAGGTAGAGATAAGAAAGGAGATTAGTGTACCTCGATAATAGCCCACAGCTATTATTAAGGGTTTTCTAGTACACCAGAAATATTCAAAGAACTTTATTTCATTGCCCCATTTAATCTCAACAGAGATCTCTAAAGTAGGTGTTACTGCAGAAACACAAACCAAAAAGGTAGACTGTAAATAGCCACGCAGAGAAGGTAAGCAACAGTGTCCTCATGCTACTAGAAAGTGCAGCTGGAATTTTAACACTAAGCAGTTTGGTCCAAAGCCCACACTTCTGACCACTCTCACACTGCCCCTCAAGAGTTAATCAAGGCTCAGTGGGGGTTCTGGTTGATTTTGCTGTTGTTCAACTTGACAGGCTAGATAGAGCTATCAGGGAAAAGGAACCTCAACTGATAAAATGCCTTTATCAGATTGCCTGTAGGAAAGTCTATAGGCCATTTTCTTTACTAAAATTTGATTTCGGAGGGTCCAACCCAGAAAGCAGGCTGAGTAAGCCATGGAGCAAACTAGTAAGCAGTAATCCTCTGTGGTGTTCTCAGCTTCATTTCCTGTCTCGCGTCCCTGCCCTGACTTCCCTCAGTGATGGAGTATGACCTGAGAGTTGTTAGGCTGAAACAAAACACCTTTTGAGCCACAGTGTTTTATCACAGCAATAGAAACCCTAACTAGGACAGCAGGATAAGTCACTTGCCATCAAACCTAAAGACCAAAGTATGATCCTCAGGACCCACATGATGGAAGAGAGAATCTACCCACTCCTGCCAAATTGTCCTCTGACCTCATGTACACTGTGGTATGTGCAGACATAAATTAATGAAAAAAGAAAATTAACTCAAGTAACACAAGTACAAAGCTGGGTCTCTGGTCTAGATTTCAACAACTCAAGCTAATTAAACATCTTCAGAAATAATCCACTTGTTTGGATGCTACTTATGACTATTTATGAAAGAATAAGAAATGGAAGAGTTACGTATCTATACAAAATAGGGAAAACCTATGTGCCTTTACTGAATGGTCTCTCTACATCTGTGTAGGTTACTTGGATCTACATTCTCAATTCTTTGCCTTGCTTTTCTTCCCATTTTTTTTGGAATTTGTTCTTATTTCTTTTTTGAGACAGTCTTTCTATATAATCTAGGCTGACTTCAAACTTGCACAGATCATTCTGCTTTTGCCTCCTGAGTGCTGGGTTAAAGGTATACACTACCAAGCCCAGCTTACTTTCTTCTTTCATGTGCAAAATTTCTCTGAGGGGACTGGACAGATGGCTCAGTGTTTAAACTGCACTTGCTGCTCTTGTAGAGGAACAGAATTTGGTTCACAAAACCAACATGGTAGTTCACAACTGGAGTCCATAACTCCAGTTCCAGGTGATATGACATATTCTTCTGGCATCCTTGGGTACTAGGCACATATATTGGGTAGGCTGGGTTTGGTAGTGTATGCCTTTAGTCCCAGCACTCAGCAGGAACAGGCAGGTCTCCAAGTTCAATGCCAGCTTGGTCTACACAGCTAGTTCAAGGCTAGCCAGGACAACTTAGTGAGAACTAATCTCATAAAAAGATATTTTGCGTTTTCTTTTTCCCCCCACTGAAAAGTTCTGTTAAAATACAGGTGAACTGACCCTTCTATTTTTTCCTTCATAGAGGTCTAGGAGAGTCCATTCCTGTCATACCCACCTTCTCAGGATAACAGAAGATTGGGAAATGTACAGTAAGCAGGAACACTTGTGTGAAAACAGAAGTATGTAAGTTTGGGTCCCCAGTGCCCATGGGGAAAACTGTGTGTGCTGTGAGCCACTATAATCGCAGCCCTGCAGGGTGGAGACACATGGATCCCAGGGGCTACTAGAGACCCTGTCTCATGGAACCAAGGCATAGTGATAGGAGGAAGATACCAAGTGTAGTCCTCTGGTCTCTGCAGGCATGGGCTCCTACACACACACAAATACACACACACACACACGCACACGCACACGCACACGCACACGCACACGCACACGCACACGCACACGCACACGCACACGCACACGCGCGCGCGCCCTTGGGATCATCTAGGCTATTCTGCTGTACCTTGAACGGGGCTCAGCAATCAGAGCATCAGGCTCTCCCAGAAGTGTGCAGCTTAGACATGGCATGAGGACACTGGCAATACTCTGAGACTTTCTGCCTTTCCTACCTTAAGCAATAGCAGGAGATTTGCATAGGCCTAATGCTTACCAAGCCACTGTGATCCTAGGGTCCAGATAATTGAGTTTGGAGGTTCCCAAGGCAATTTGTTTATTCTCCTCTCGATCTGTGGCTTGAACTTCCAGCTTCATCAGCTGCTCTTCTAGTCTCTGTACAGCCTTCTTTTTTGACTCTACTACCCTGGAAGAATGGCAGTCATTACACATTAAGACTGACCTCTGGACAAGAACAGACTACATCCTTAGATGCCACTTAGAGGAGAAAAAAGCATGGAAAATTTCCCAAAGAAACTCTTGGGGGAAAAAAAAAACAACTCAGTATGGTGGTTTAGCCTGGGAAGCTAAAAGGATTGTGAGACCCAAGATAGTCATAATGAGACCCTGCCTTCAAAGAAAAGAGGTAGGTGGGCTGAGACACCCAGGCCTAAATGATGAGGCCAACTGTTCTCTGTTAACCAGCCCTTGGTACAGTATCAAATACATACTTCTTGGTCTTTGCATCCTTCATGACTTTGGCATCAGCCTTAGCACTTTTCAGGTCCCTTCGAGCATCTGCTAACTGGTCTTTCTTGGCATCAATCTAGGCAGAGAAAAACAGTAGTAAAGTTAGGAATAAAATGAGCCAGAGAGGGAAAAGAGTTCCATCTAAGAACGTAAAACCTGGGAGTTGTTAGTGTTTTCTAGGTACAAACACAGGGGTGGCTTTATGAAGATGGGGGATGGACAGTGACCACAGAAAATAATCCAAACTGTTTGCTTCTCATTCATGTTCTTCAGTGATCTTTTTCTAAAAGAGTATCTGGAAATCTGGTTGTAATCTTTCAGGGGAACACTTGGCTTTAGAGAACAGAGAAGGGCCCAGATGGCAGCTATTATCAAATGAATCCTGTGCCAGGCTTTAGTTTTCCTTTGTTGTTAGTCTGTTTGGTTTTTTTGTTTTTTGTTTTTTTTTTTTAAAGACAAGGTCTCACTACATAGACCAAGCTGGCCTAAACTCACAGAGATCTGCCTGATTCTGACTCTCAAATGCTGGGATTATAGGTGTGGGTCACTAAGCCTGGCCTTCTGCATCTCTTTTAAGGCTGTAGGAGAAACTAAACACTAAAGCTAGACACTCAAATATCTACTAAGGAAGTACAGATCATTTCCCACAGTCTGTCAACTTTTTTTTTTTTTGGCCAGGTTTGAGGAAAAGGGTACATTAATATCTAGAAAATGAAAACATGGCAAATAGCATTAATTAGGAATGGCCTAGCCTTAGCTTTCTGTTTTAGAAAGTAAGGAAGTCTAAACTAAGAAGAAAATTAGTCATCACTCAATAAGAGATGTGAAAAGAATCAATTGATTTTTCCACCACAAAGGTAATCCCTATCTATAAAGAAAAGACAGAACATTTTCATCCTTTCTTGCTTTTTGGAACCCTTGAAAAGCTAAGTTCTGCTTTGGGTGTTGCTTAGAAACAGCAGTAGGCAATATTAGGATGCTGGGGTTAAAGCTGCTGAGTTTGTACTGCTGGGTTCCCAAGAATCCCACCCCTGTGATCACCCTGATGACCTATGAGGTCAAGAGAATATCCTAGAGTAAATACATGTTGGCTTATTATTCACTGAGCCTAAAATTTGTTAGACAAACACCCCACCCCACCCCACCCCCGGGGCAAACAAAACAAAATAAAACAACAACAAAAAAACCCACACAAAATGCAGCCTAAGATTAGAAACAGTCCACCACTGTGAAAGAATCATTAAATACGCTTTACTGTTAGTGGATTCCTTCCAATATCTATGTCGTTCAAAAACGTTACTGGAACTGACTCTGCACACAAAAGCATCACAGCTACCACTAGCCAGATGCTTCTTGGGCCAGAAAAGCAGCAAACCACAGTCTAAACCATTTCTGTGAATGCTACACTGGCAAGCTATGTCAAATTCTCTCAGAGCATCAAAGACACCATTGATTCACTAGGCAGTGGGGCGTGTGTTTGCTTTGTGGGCACATAGGCGAAGGTTCCTAGGCTTGGAGGGCTCATGTGGCACACATCTTAAGCCACTCAAACAGGGGTTCCAGAGTAAAAGCAACAAATGTTCCAGGAAGGGTCTTCTAACCTAGGTAAACAGCACCCCAGTACTCATGCTTTAATCTGAGCTTGGAAATGACAACATGTGGAAAGTAAGCAGTATCAGAGGATCTCTGTTTAACAGAGGGGCAAAGCAAAGGCAAATGCTAAGATGGTAGTTTGTGAGTTTCTTGGCTTGCTGACCCTATACATGGACTAGAGAGCTCAGTGAGTGAATACAGAGATCCCTTCAGGCCAGATGTAGCAAAGCCTCTAGGTTGTATCTTTATATACATTATCCTGGGGTACTCATCTTGCAGATATCTCAATAGAAGAAAAATATTCTTTGTTTTGTTTTGTTTTGAGACAGGGTTTCTCTGTGTAGTTTTGCGCCTTTCCTGGAACTCACTCTGTAGCCCAGGTTGGCCTCGAACTCACAGAGGTTCGCCTGTCTCTGCCTCCAGAATGCTGGATTAAAGGCGTGCGCCACCACTACCCGGCTTGAAGAAAAATATTCTGAGCCTGAATGTGTGTTAAGTTTCACTATAAAGCAGTTTCTAAAACTCAGTTGTCTAAGTACAGAATTCCATAAACTATGGTGGAAAAAAATTGTATCTGCACTTTGGCTACTTTTTAATTATGAGTGTGGGCAAGAACCCAAAGAAATATAACTTGTCCTGTGACTATTACCAACAGATGTTGAATACTTCCCTATTATACATTACAGTGTTACAGAACTCTTGAAATATCACTTTTATTTATTACTATCTTTTTTGGGGGGAGGTCATTTGATATTTCCTCCGTGGAGAGTACCTAGTCAGCTAAATACTTTTACTTCAGTTGGAATAGCGATAATTACAGTAGCTGATGTGAAGTAAGCTCATGTATCACTATACAGTAATTATTAGGACCACCTCAAGACCTTAAATGGGGATATTTATTCCTGTGCCACAGACTGAATTTTAATATAACTGGTTTCCATTGTGCAACTGTTTTAACATGAACTATCTGCAAATTTTCACTGTGGGTTAGGGAGTTAAGATGCATAGTTAATCAGCCAATGCTAATTATGCATGGTAGTGGAACAAAATCACCTTGTTTAGGTATCAGTCTCTCCCTACAGGGCACAACCCTAACACAGTCAGATCTGAATTCAACAGATGTAAAGAGTTGTGCTAGGATTAGGGGGAATTAAACACCATTGCTTGACCAGCTTTTAAAGCTGAAACAATCTGATAGGAAAGAGTTAATTTTCCCTTCCCCTGCTTCTACCCCAGGGATTAAAGCCAGGGTTTCATGTATGGTAGACAAGCATAGGTAGGCTCTACCACTGAGGTGTATCTTCAGGATCTTAGCTAGAGCACTAAGACTTTACTTTTGTGGTGCTAGAGGCCTGTTATACACCAGACAACCATTCTACCACAAAGCTGCACTCTTATTTCCATTTTCCTTAAGCATATAACAGGGATGACAATTAGCTATTCCAGGGGCATCAAAGTTAGCACTTCAAAATAGAAAGTAATTAATATAGAACTTGTGTCCCCAGCACAAATATTTTAGGAAAAAATACAATACTATCCAATTATCTCCACTTCTTATCTATAGAACAGATCTTTCTTCAGAACAGACCCAGACTAGCCTGCTGTTATCCCAGCCTACACAAGGTCAGATTCCAGACGCCTCTCATTTTCAGATGATATCATACATAACTCCCTTTGCTATCCCACCTTCGGACCCCACCATACCTTAGACTGCAAGTTCATCATTGACTTCTCAAAGGTCTTTGGTGGCGCCCTCTGGTGGTTACAAAGAATTGCAACAGCTCGATTGGCACGATTATAAGATAGAATCTTTGCTGGTACATTCTCATCAGCTGTAAAGAAATAAAATAGTAACAGAGTCAATTTGTATACCAAGAATGTATACATGAAGTATCTCTAGGGACTTCATCCTTTTGT